ATCACTTACGCTGCTGTGGTTGATAAACAATTTAAATATATTTCTCCTCTGAAATAACCCGGTCCCCATTGTCCGTCATGACTGAATAAACCTTGATGTTCATGAGAACCTATAGAATCTTGTTTAAAAGCTCCAATTTCTAATTCTCCATTCAAATTTTAGTTACCATCCTTTCTTCCATTATTTTTACATCTTAAAAATAATCCTCTGGCATCAGAAACAGATTGTATTTGAAATTGATTATCCAAATCACTTCTTGTTACATCTGCATCATTCATAAGAATCCATTTAGTTCCATGAATTTTATGAAAATCTTCAGGTTTTAAAATTGAATATATAATATCGCCTAACATTTTTGATTTGAATAGAAAAAGAAACAAACTTTATATACGTATTTATCTGATTAGTTGCCAGAGTAGTAGCTTAATAATTAATAATTAACTTGATCATAATATTCATGTTACCATATTTTTACATTGGCGTTATTTAGAAAATTGTTCTTCTTAAAAACAGAATTATAACCTCAAAATAATGCCCATGTGTATTCCTAAATAATGCGAACCTATATATGATTGCCTGTACTGGTAGTGATAGTAAAAAATGGGTAAAGCATATGATGATTAAGCCTGAAGAGTCAAATCTGTATTTAACCATATTCAGGTCATAATAATCATCTGTTTTAATTTTGTAATAAAAAGCATTTATCATCTTTAGTATGGGCGTTATTTATAAATCAAATCAGCATTTGTTTCGAAATAACACCATGTACTCTGAATAACGCGCATATACTGTACACAGGTAGGCATCATTTCGCAAAAGTACAGTAATAGTTATCTGTTATGTAATATTTACGATTTCTGCATAGTTATTGTATAATTACTGCATAATTACAAGTCGAGCTAAAATCGAATATCCTTATGTTAAGCAAATTCTGAAATTTTCTTGACGGTAATTTACGACATCTGCATTATACATGTGACCAAAACCCCTGGATTTTCGAACCTAGTTTCGGTTTCAGATTTTATCAATTTTCGACCCAGGATGATCATTTCTGAAATTAAAATCTTTGGTCGAAAGGCTAACTAAAATCGAATCTAATTGAAGTCTTTATACTTGAATTAAAATTCTAAACGAAGCATTGAATTTTCTGTATAATTAAATAAATTAGTAAAAATTTAACAAAAAGGGCAACCTAAATCTCATTTACATAAACTGAATATAAATATGTAAACTTTCAAATCCATGAACAACAACTTTACATTTGTTATTAAAGCACTCTTGCAATTCTTAAGGAGCTGGTTTTGGAAGCCATTCAATCTTACTTGAGAAAATCTGTGCTGCAGTATTCAACAAATTATGATTGATTTCTTTTCAATAAAACAAGCTCTCTCTGGTAAGATCTAATATACCCCAATATGCCGGTCTATTAAACATAAGTAAAATATAGATATTAGTATACCAATTATTAAACATTAGAAAAATATAGATATCAAACCACAACAGGGGTAAAGATTATTTTAAACCTACGTTACTAATTTTTTGAACTAGATATCGAATTTTGATATTTAATAAAGGAATTTTTTAAATTTCGATTAAACGAGCTTAACTAAAAATAATATAATAACATTAATGCATATTATATATCTAAAATTTGAACTAGTAAAAAATATTACCAGTTCAAGTTCAATAGTTATTTCTTCAGATTCAAATTCTGGGAGGCTCGTTTCTTCAATTAAACTATTATCATCTATTAAATCACTAAGTTTCTCTTCATTAAAATCACTAAAAAGGGTATTATAGTCCTCTTGTGATTGGTAATTTTCAGTTAAACTTGTACCATCATTGTCATCAACATTTAATCTAACATTTAATTTAACGTGTGGCTCTAGTTTCAAACACGAATATAAATTTAATCATTATTACCATGCTATATACTATACTAGATTAGTTATATTAAAAGGATACCTTTTATTTTTAGATCAGACCACAATTTATTTACATCAACATTATTTCATTTATCCTATAAATAATGTAAAAAAAAATTAGTCAAAATTCTTAACAAGCATACGTAATGCCTCAGAGATACCATAAATGACTGTATTTGTTATCAAAAGCAATATCCATTGATATATGTATCTCAGTGACAAAAAGCAGTACCTGTTGCTATGATATGAAAGACGATACTTAACATATGCAGAGCATAGTAAGTGGCTCTATTTTCACGGCTCAGAGATACACGTAATACCCGTTGATAATATGTCTCAGTGATATCATGAGAAAAGAACAGCACGAAATAGTACCTGTTGACATGATATAGTCCATAAAAAATGTACTTGCCTTTGCATGCTGCTACTGAATTATTTCTGCTTTCTTAACTTTCGCATTATCATTATAATGTTGGATGATCGAATGCAGACTCCTCACAAGAGCATCATTTGCTTTTTGATATTGAAGTTTTCCTAGATTATTTCTGAATGTTTTTATCCAATCTTCATGAAAACTTAAGATACTCCAATTATCAACTTTAATAGTATCAAAATATTCATTCCACTTT